CGCCTCCAAATCCGACCTCGATGCTTACTCCGCACACCCCGACCACGTCGCCGTCGTCACCAATTACGTCAAGCCTATCATCGATGACAATATGGCTGTCGATTGGGTCGCCAGTGGCGCCGGCGCCGTTAAAATTCCTCCCGGTTCGGCTATGAGGGTCACATTTTTGAAATTGAAGGAGGGCTCAGGGGAGGATGAGAGAAATGAGGTTTTGGGGGCGATTGGAGGAATCAAAGAGAAGTTTCCGGGGATTGAGCAGTTGAGTTTCGGGGAGAACTTTTCTCCCGGGAGAGCGAAAGGGTTTTCGATCGCCTCTATTGCGGTTTTCAAGGGGGTCAATGAATTGGAGGGATTGGATGCGGAATCGGAGGCGGCCGATAAGCAGAAGGATTTGGCTAGGGATAAGGTAGATGGTGTGGTGGTGCTGGATTACGTGGTTCCTTCGTCGCAGACGGCTAGCCTCTGAAGAAGGGTACAATTCTCTGTTCATTCAATTGTCCAGTTTCGCCAAGCATATTTTTATTGGCCATTTCTCTTTTACGCTTTACTGGACTGCATGAATGTTCAATGTCGTCGTTGTTGTTTAGGGTGATATTAGACTTTGAAACTAGAATGGTGCTAATAAATAATGATGAGAAGAAGATGAAGTATTGAAGTGTTCAGTTTTTCATATTTTCTGCTATGTTACTTTTGCTCTCAAGTTACTAGTTCTATTTTGCATTTATAAAAAAAAAAAAAGGAGATCTGTTCTTATTATTACTTGTTTAAGAGTATTTTTCTTTGGTAATTTTTACTAGTTAATCCCATACAAACACAAAAAGGGGTGTCATTCTTGATTGGAAAGAGAGCTCTAACATCCTCCATGCATCACCCTTTTGCAACACAACAGTCTTTCTGGGCCTAATTGAAAGATTTCAAACAGAAGACCTTCAGGCACGAGCATACAACAACGATAGCAATTTTGCAATTTTTGTGTGTCTTGAGCCCTATCAGCCTCCTCTCCTCAGTTCGATTTCTGTCATGGAAGTCGACCGCTTGATCACGAAAAATTGTTTGTTTTAAGTGTGAAGTGATGCTGTGCAACCAATGACAGCACAACTGACAAATTTGAAAGGGGTGGTTTGGTTCTCTATAGTAGTAGTAGTAGTAGCAGCATCCAGTAGAACTGGAACTACTTTTGAAGTTGATCATTTCATCTTGTGCAAGGATGATGATGATGATGAAAAGAAGAAATTAATACATACGGTTCAGTCTGCTCTCTCACAGGCCACAATGACTGAAGATGACCACATTAAACAAAGAAAACTGCGATAGATACACTTTCAAGTGATTTCCAAGTGCCAATGCCATCCTTACCCACCTTCCCTCGCCCTGCCCTTTTATCGCTTGTCAAGTGATGCCCATCCTGTGCTTTTCTTCAAGTCCAGACCTGTATGTATCCACAAAAATGTCAAGCCTAAAAGTTGGCTGGTGGTTGTCAATCTCTTCCCTAAAGTACGACCAACAGGTGTATATGGCATTGTTCCTTTCTGCGGAACTAACATTTTAAGCGTGCAGATGATATATCCAATTTTCCTTAGTTAACAGGTCTGCCTCTCTAAAACATAATGCAGTCTTTCATTCATTGTTGACCACTCGATATATCTATGAGCTATCGACAAGAAGGAGACCAAAAATCTGCTAAAGAATTATCCCAAAAAAACATAAAGGAAAGGAAAAATCAAAACGCAGTTTTAAAGAACTTTCAACTTTACCCTAACCCAAAATTCTGAAAGTCTAGGGGCGGCTGATGGAATCGAAAAGTAAATTTTGATTTTTCAGTTTTTTTTGAGATTTGACTTTTCTGGGATTTGCTAGTAATTGCTTGCTTTTCACGTAAAAGCAAAATTCTTCGACCCATGACTTCTCTTTCATCATCTATAACATGAACTAATAAAATTTACACTCACTAGCATTCTTAGATGCATGCCAAGCATATAAAAAGTAAAATTTAAATTCGAATTGAGAAAGGGATACAAGTATCTAGCGTTTCACTTAGCTTATTTGGACCCTCCCGCAAGATCATTAAGCAGTCAAATAATGAAAGATACGAAAGGTAGTGGTAGTTTAGTCTGACAAGGAGGAAGAAAATTCTTGGAAGCGCTCGATCAATAGCAACTATCGTTGATTAATTTTCAAACTGATGTTCCAGAAAGGCACCAATATAAATATCTAATTGGAGAAACCATAAAGCATTCAACAGAACCAAGAGCCCAGTAGCTGAAAATTTTTAACCCAATGGAAGATTTGAAAATCCTCTCCCTAAAAGTTGCTTCTCTACTCCTGGCGAGCTACTTCTTTCTGAAAGTTTTTTACTCCATTTGGTGGAAGCCAAAATGGTTTGAAAGGCACTTAAAACAGCAAGGAATTGAAGGCCACCCCTACAAACTTCTGATTGGCCACATGAAAGACTTCATGAATCAAATTACTGAAGCATGGTCGAAACCAATGAGCCAGCCTCTCTCATCAGATTGCACCACGCGTCGATCCCTTCACTCACAACACAGTTAAAAAATATGGTAGGTTACATCTTACAATGGAAATGTATCGTTACAAATTGTAGTTTCCCAAGAGGCGTTTCGCATGCATACAGGGAAGATATCACTATGTTGGGCAGGGACAACTCCAAGGTTGAACATTACGGATCCAGAGATAATAAAAGAAGTCCTAGCTAATAAGCAAGGTCACATTGGTATAACACCGTTTGCGTTGGACCCTCTTGTGCTCACTCTTACAGAAGGATTGACACTTCTAGAGGGTGAAATATGGGCTACTCACAGGAAGATAATGACTCCTGCATTCAAATTGGAGAAACTAAAGGTAATTTTCAAGCCCTTATCTCCAGATATCATTTTTAAGATGGTACTAAGAAGCCTGGGATGTATGATTTAACAGTATGGATTCTCAAATTAATGTCGTGTCAAAATAGGGAATGGTGTCAATATTTGCAGAGAGTTGTGTCTTGCTGGTAGAAAAATGGAAGAAATCAATTGCTCTTGGTGGAACCAGCGAAATAGATGTCTGGCCTGACTTTCAGGAGCTGACTGGAGATATTATTTCTCGGACAGCATTTGGAAGCAACTTCGATGAAGGAAATCAAATACTAAAGCTTCAGATAGAGCTGCAAAGTTTGGTTGCTGAAGCCTTGCAAAGCTCGTACATACCTGGTCTTAGGTACATTACCGTTCACATATGAGCTTGGTCTTTTTCAGTCACTGTCGTTAGGCATTGCAAATATACCTAATGGCCTCATTACGAGACAATTCTAAATTGTATGATATCCTTACCATACTAATGACCAGATTCATTCCAACCAAAAAGAGCCAGAGAAGAAAAAGTTTGGACAAGAACATTACTTCAATGCTCAGGACTTTGATTGAGAGAAAGAGAACCCTGATGAGAACTGGACAAACAAATACAGATGATCTACTTGGCCTGCTCTTGCAGTCTAATGACGAAAACAGCCTGCAGTCTAGTCCATATAACAAAGATGGTAACAAGATGACCATCAAAGAAATAATAGAGGAATGCAAGCAGTTCTACATAGCCGGTCGAGAGACATCCTCAAGCTTGTTAACATGGACGATGGTCATCCTGGCAATGCACCCAGACTGGCAAGAGAAGGCAAGGGAAGAAGTTCTGACAGTGTGTGGGAAAGAGCATCCTGATGCTAAAACTATAAGCCAACTTAAATCCGTGAGTACTGCTCTTTACTTCTTTCAGACATAGTAGTTAACTTTTATAGAAGTACCAGTTCATTTAATACTGAAAAATCACTTAGGTACTTTAAAACTACGTGTTCCTTAAACATCCTCTGAGCTGATCATAACTCAGTTATAGGAACCAGAGTTAACCTCCAAAATGGCCTTCATGCAACACTTGGATGAAGGTCATATTGTAAAACTCATCAAAGAAAAGCAGTGGTAATTGACAGAGATAGGGTTTTAACGTGGTTCTTTTTTCAAACGCCAACTAGAGCAAAATATTCAAATGGAAGTAATACCAAGACCAAGCTGTCAATTCCTTTTAATAGAAAATGCTTCATGTTCAATCCATTCCCCGTAGTTCTTTTTCTTTCCTTACTTCTTCCTACGCCTAGGAAGCGGAGACATGAACTGTGTTTATTTGAGTTGTGGAAATTTTTACTGAGACTTAAATTAAATATTTACTGATCGACCTGTTTTTATTAGTTAAATAGTATTAGATTATGACATTTAGTGCTAATGATTGGGAATATTTACAGGTAACCATGATTCTTCATGAAGTCCTCAGATTATATCCGCCAACTATCGCTCTGTATAAACATACATACCAAGAAACAAAGATAGGAAATCTCTCTCTTCCAGCAGGGGTAGATCTTACGCTGCCCTTATTACTCACCCATCGTGATCCTGAGCTATGGGGCAGTGATGCAGAGGAATTTAAACCTGAAAGGTTCTCTGGAGGATTATCAAAGGCTTCGAAAAATCAACTAGCATTCTTCCCTTTTGGGTGGGGTCCCAAAACTTGCATTGGCCAACATTTTGCACTGATGGAAGCCAAGGTAGCATTATCCATCATACTACAAAATTTCTCATTCGAGCTCTCGCCATCCTACGCTCATGCCCCCAATTCTGTCATGGCTCTTCAACCCCAACATGGAGCTCCCATCATATTAAAGGAAGTTTAGGTTGAGTTTGGATTGCATTTTTCATGATTTTTCATAGAAAAATTATTGTGAGAGAAAAAGATAATAGGAAAATGTGATTACGGAAAACGACATAATTTTTTGACGGAAAACAGCAATCCAAACAAGGCCTAATCGCGACTCAGGACACTGAAGCCCTAAGATGTTCTCAAAGACCCACTAAAAAAGTAAGAAATGTCATGCCGTGATTTATGTCACCCGAGAAATATTTCTCAACAAAACCGTTCACTGATTTTTTTTATGATCAGAATTTCTGCGCACGCAGAATCTCATGATTCTGACAATTTGTGATTATTCATTTCCTTGTGTAAAAATAATTCTGAAATTTGTTTGTTTGTTTTACATCATGAATGGATGTTCTGACCGCAACAAATCCATTTTAAAGGATGAAATAAATTGCTCTGCAAAAGAACATGGCTTAACAAGTGCATATACTACAAGTCAGCCATTCCATCTAACATCGAGTCCACATCTGGGGTTATGATGACGCGCTTATCGAGCTCCCCCACAGTACAACAATGCTTTTCTTCATCGTTAATGGCAACAACATCTTGTGCAAATACACAATCCAAACCTACCGAAACCTGCATAAATCATCAAAATATCATCATACATATTATAATTGTTTCTTCTCTGAGTATGTTGTTTACAGCAGCAAAACCATTTGCAGTTCTTAACATAAGAGAAATAACATTTTTCCTTTTCTTTTTCTTGCCTCGGAGAGGTTAAGGACGATGACAGAGCATTTTTATGAGTTACATACATAAATTCCATGTTATATCCATGAAACATGCCTACTTACATCATAAAGGTTGTCACCAAGCTTCAGCTTGACAGCGCCACTCCTGTAAACTAAAATTTTACCCATAAATCCTGCTGGCAACTCATCCAAACTACAGGACTTCTGCAAAAGTTCTCCACTCTTTGTTGGTTTAGAAGTATCTGCCATCTCACTGCCAGCCGTATTAGGCAATTGCTTTATCATAGGCATGCTTGCAGGTAATTGAAGAAACAACATGGTTTCCTTTCCTTCCTGCAAAGTACTCCATTTTCATTATGCCCATCATTCTAATAATAGTAACAATGTAATTTTTGTATAGCATTACCAACCGTTAGACCAAGCTCTACAGCAGCATTTGTGGAGCATTCATCATAGTTCAAGCTTTCTGAGGCCTCATCAAATTCCTCTTGATCAAGATGTTCTGCATGTCAGAGGAGCAAGATAATGTATAAAAGTACCTAGGAAGGTTGGTAACTTCCCCATTTATAGAAGAGGAAGAAAGCACACAAGTCCACCTCAGTGCTCATGAGATGTTATCATTACCCAAACAACAGCAGACCAAAAGCTTAGTGAGCAGAGTGGTCCATGCTCGTACAATTTTAAGAAATTTTCTGACTAGGTTAAAGCACTCTCATTAGGTTACTCCTTGAAAGTCGAAAGGCATTTTATCCAAAATGATTACCTGGATCCCCCGAGTATGGTCTCCTTAAAGGAAGTGTTACAGGATAATTGGTATAATAATCCTATAATAACACAAGCAGAAGAAGGCAACTCAAGAAAAGAGTATGATAGACAATATCAAAACTTCAGTGTGGATAATCAGTCTTAGAACTTGAATCATAAAGAAACTGCATCAGCTGCCACCTACCCATGGTTCTTTGTATTCTTTCTGCACCCTACGCATAGCACCTCCAGCTGCAGAAATGCAGATTAAAGTGAAATGCAGCACCAAGCATCATTATAGCAGCATATTCACACTTTAGAAAAGCACTTGCCATTAGGATATGAACTATGATGTGTGCTTACACCCTTGGGAGCACCATATGACCTCATTGAAGGTGATGAGCCTCCATAGCCAAATGCCACATGTGCCGGTCCAGCTTCAAAAAGGAAGAAAGGATTTAAGCAATGTTGGTTCAAGAGCTTAAACATATATAATCTCTTGACAGAGGATGCAGCAATACAGAAATAGTCAATCTATGCAAGTATGCAATCAGTTTGAACTTCAAACCAGAACCAACGTGGTGATAGCAGAGCAGTCGTGAGAGAGGATGTTTAACATTTTCTTGATTAATTGTACTACGGTCAGCTTTGTACTAGTGCTTTTCAAATGCAAGGGACACAAGAAAGTGCTAAAGAAACTTAATTGAGGCAAACAAGCTTTCAACACGTTTCTTCGCACAATTCCAACTCATAAAATAATACTACAAGGATAGTACGAATATCATGCTTCCCGTAAATTATGCTACATTACATAAATATCCTGCAAATCAATGACATGAAATAAATAATCAAAGCCAAGAAAAAACAAAATCAATAGAAACAAATGAAAGGAGCAGCTTTTCCATTTGGGATTTCAAATAAAAAAAATATACCGGATTACAAACGTCTCACTTCTACACTTCGAAAATGCTAAAAGAACAGCTTACGTACTTTTCCTTTCAAATTTAGGCTTTGCGTTGACAGAAGATTCCTACATATAACGAAGCAATCATCTTTCATAAAACAGAGCACTAACAATGATGATTTAACCAACAAAACTTCCTAACCATGAAGAATCAAACAACTGTGATGGGAGAGCACAAATACATTAAGCCGGCGTAATAGTTCCTCAGCCTGAGCAGCATCAACGGCATCTTCAACCTTCTCACTGAAACGATCAACAACATTTTGATACACAGTGATGCGAAAAAAAGTCGCAACCAGCACGAATTTGTAATATTCAATCCAAACACAGTATCTTGCTTTATGATAAAAAGACCGAGTTTTTACACTTTGGTGACGACAGTCTTTTGGTCTCTGCGTGGAGGAACTTTTGGTGCAAACCTCACCTACATTAAATTCCAAACCAATCTTTTTTTAATCAAAACCCGCGTTGGAAATCATCCAAACTTGGGATTATTTAGAATCTTAAGAAAGGCTACTTATATACCTTCCTAGGTGCATTGGTGGCCGTGGTTGCTAAAGAGTCTGGATCCATGACAAAATCAATAATCAGATGATCAAAAAAGTTAGGAGCAGTCACGTTATTGTTGGTGAACTCTTTATGTACTGCGGAGTTGAATGTAGTTTGGGATACACGGCAAGCTGAAACTAAAAGAGCGGTTGTGGAGGCTGAGAAAAAGGAGAACGTGGAGGTTTTAGGCGTCCTGCAAAAAATAGTGTGAATACTAGAGGATGGTCAGTCACGGAGGCTTAGGGCCTTAGGATTTTAGGCCCAAAATGCTTTATCAAGATCAATGCAACTAAAATATGAATTTTAAGTTTTTTATATAAGGCTTAGGGCCTTAGGATTTTAGGCCCAAAAAGCTTATCAAGATTAATGCAATTAAAATGTGAATAAGTTTTTTATATGTACAAAAATTTTTTACACTAGTAGGTTTAGATCATATACATTCAAATCATGTACATTTTACATAAAAAAAAAAAAAATCACTATACTATCATAATGTAAAAAATTAGCTCTTAAAGTATGCCAGCACAATTTTGTTGATGATTATCTTTAACGAAAAGAACTTAGTGAGGTAAAAAGAAAGAATTAAAAAAAAAACAAGAATGGAGCTCGTGGGGTGGCAATATTTTGTTATCCTCCTAATTCAATATGTTATCTACAAGTGTTAATTTAACTTTTCAACCGCGCTGTGATCATTATTTGACATTCACAAACTAATAAGTTTAACTTGAAACTCTGTGATGGAAATCTTGGTGTGGACCATTATCAAGCCTTCTCTTCTTGAAAGAAGATATGATATAACGTGCCATGGGAGAAGAGATCGGTCATTCATATTTTCAATTTTTTAACTCTCAGACTCTTTAACATATAGACTCTTCTCATTGTTTTTGGTAGAAAGCTATTTTACCTAGATACCAACCACAAAGTTCTTGGAACTTGAGAGAGGATAAGTCACTTCATTTCTTCGGGATTTAGCAAAGATCAGACGGTTTGAAGGTATGATTCTTGATCTAGCTTGTTTTACCCCTTTCCCGGTGGAAAGTAAGATGCAAGAGCTCCCAGCTACATGTAGCAAGGCAAGATGGATGCGTGAGTTTCGAGTGGCCTTCAGATCCAGCCTTCATTGAAAGTTGGAGAAAGAAGGCGTGATAACCCATGGAACAAACTCAAGGTCATTTGGGAGTGGGCCGTTTTGAAGTACACCATGATTATGATGTTGCCAACCACTGGATTTCAGCTTTTCTGTATGATAAATTAATTAAATATCAGAAAAGAAAAGACGTGATATCAAGGGAGCACTAGAGAACTGCCAGATAAAGATGCCTATTAGTATTAAACTCGTATCCAAAGTCTCTAATTTCTAGCTGCTTGTGCCGATTGAGCCGTGGCTATCATTTGAGCCATAATACTAGCATATTGTGCTGCCGTGTGTTGTGAACTGTATTCATCTGACAGGCCATATTCTGCAAAGTTGGGCTCAATATGCACAAAATGACCCGGCAAGGATCTTTTTGAGAGAGCTTCCTGCCATATATCAAAGAACTCGCCCATGATTTGGTGTGATTTTTCCCATGATGAAATAGGTAAATACTCCATCTGCCAAAAATTTTTTTTAAAAAAAAAAAGGAAAAAGAGAAAGAAAAAGAAAGAAAGAGGGTCATGGTTACCAACATATCTGTCATATCAAATTCATTGCTGATACACAAACCGCATCGTATAAGATGCAGTAAACATGAAGTTCTGAAGCATTTAGGACAGATAAGATATTCACCACAAAAAACAAAGATATTCATAGCATATGAACTACGAAATGCTAGCAAAAGACACAGAAAATTTATTAGTACAGAAGCTAAAAGTTGGCTTCTTTTCAACAGTAAAAAAATTTTGACCACTTTTCAATTTCTAAAAGGCACTGCTTTGTTTCGGACAAAACTTACGAGACCTATGATGTAGATACTGAAATATCATTTCATAGTAATTAAGCATTCATCAATAATTTCTTGTGTTGTTTTTAATTTTCTTACTTATGATGCTTATAATTGTTTTGAGCCCTAACTGTATGGTCCAACTCAGATCAGTGACATCCAACATTTTGCTCGTTGCACTCTGCAAATTAAGATAACTACTAGGCTCTGATGCATCCCTCTCTCATGCGCTCTAACTTTGTTTTTGTGGCTTCTATTCTAGCTGAGCTATGCATTCATAGGTTGGTTATTGACCAGTGCAAGAAAGATGCAAGTCAATGTCTAGATTTTACTAAGTGAAAAGTCACAGGGTCAAGAGCTTCCTAATGTTTTTATTGTTAATTACTCAGAAGACTAGCAGTTCTTAATTTTATTGTGATAACTAGTAATTCGTTCATCTTGTCTACTTTTTAGATGATTGAATTCTGGTGAACCACAATTCCTAATTTCAAGTTCTCAATTATTAATCAAAAGATCAAAAGTAGAGCAAAGAGTTACGCCACAACAATTTCAGAATTATTGATCGTTGTGGAACTCAACCCACAAGAATCATCAGCAAAATCAAAATCTTTGAGTTAACTCTCTTCAGAGCGAAGATTTCACACTTATTTCTCAAAAAAAGGAAAAATCCATGACAAATCCCCCAACCCCCAAAGTCCAAACAGAAGGAAAATATTAACTGGCAAAACCAAGCATTGTGGGTCAAAGAACAGAAACTTAAGGAGAACATCAACAACTTATCACTTTAGACGACTTTAAACTTCGATCAAAAGTGACAAACAGCAAGATTGTTGTACAGTAAAGTTCATTAGCTCTATAACAACCATACTTGCAATTCTAAGTAGAGCTAATTACCTCCATAACAATTCCCCTCAAACTTTCAGAGTGGATTGGAACAACTTTCCCCACACGTAACTGGAAGTCTCCTAGTTGATACTGAAAGCCCTGCATTTATTACAGTCAATTGTTTAGTGGTAAGTATACAAGACAAATATGTATGCAATGTGCTCGACAAGGTTGGAGGCATTTTCAACTGCAAGCTCAGCTCCTTATACTGTCAATGGTTCAATCTAACTAGTTAATCATTCAAAGCAACCTCCTTTACTGAGCACACACAATTGCACAGCTTTAGTTGGCCTAGAAAATGGCGATGATAGAAAAAATGGAATCAAGCTTCAAAATTGTAATGCTGGAGGAGCTTTCTAATGGGGTGGACAAAAATAATTTTGCTCTGTAACCTAATACATATTTGCATGAAGATCAGTCAGATACAAGAAAAGACCATTCAAGTTCTTGAACTATCACGTATTTTTGTTGCATTCTTTTTAACCATTCTGCAGTTAAACTTTGCTTCAACCATTTGCCTATCCCTCTCCCCCTTCTCCATTCACCCCACCCCCCCCCCTTCCAAAGTCATGTAGTGAATATGGTCTATCAAGACACAAAATTTAAGAGCAGATAAAATAGTGAAATGAATATCTTAAAGTTGACAGACCTCAAAATTAAGCGCTACCCTTGTTTTGTATGACTGCAGTTTTTCCATAATTGTCTGAATTGTAGAATCTGCCTCAACAATCAACCGCTGCCCTCTTATCACAAGGTAATACTTATTGGGCTGCTCTTGGAGTGAAATCCCCAAAAAATCACGAGGAAATTCCATCGCATTCGCTTGTTCTACCATTTATGAACCCACGAAAATATCAGAAATCTCAAATCCCAACCCAATAAAAATAAAAGAGATAATCGAATCCGCAGCTCTATTTATAACGTCACCAACGCGAAATAGGAAATACAACAAAGAGAAAGCCCTTAAGAAAATTACCTCTAACCATGGGTTTATAAAAGCTGAGAGTAGCTTTCCACCTTCCTTCCTTGACCCCGTTAATGCCCTCCACACACTGAGACACTTCTGTGAGAATTTGGGTGTTCACTGTTGTGCCTGGATTAGGCTGCCAGTGCAAAACCCTAGAAAACAGCCAAAACAAAAAATAATCAAACATTCAGTTTGATCTGCAAAAGCTCAGTCATGGTATATAATCTTTTGTGCACTACAACAACATCCAGTGAGTTACCAATTTAAAACAGGGAAGAATGCTAGTTCATACATGGGATTTTTGCTTACCATTTGATGGGCATGGCGGAATCAGTATTTGTTGCCTGAAAGAATTTGATCCGTTGGAATAATTTCTTGGGCTTGTTTTGCACTTTCTTCCACCGAGTTTAGTGAGAACAAAATTACATCGGGGCTATGGCGGGTGGAAAAATGTTGAGCGGACAACCCGAGCCAACTCAAATACTAGGCTTTGCCTTTTAACTAGTATTGACTATTGAGTTCGAACTCGAACTTAGATTAGCTCGATTGGAGTTCTGCTGATTTGTTGAAGGTTCAGTAGAGTTGGCACTATCGGGTATGTCCTAAATTCGAGTTTCACTAACCGTCAATTTATTCTCATTCTCACTGAAATGTGAGTTAATAGTTATTTATCCTATTATGTACGAGTTACCAGTTAATACTGTAGCAGTGTTGAGTTATCATGCATGTATTATTGTATTGATTCTATCATGTGAGTTATTTGGAATTATTATTATAATTAAAAAAGAGAAATATTATTTGCACCCCTTTTTCTGTTATTTGTATTATCGCTATTCATCTTATCATATATAATTTAATAAATAAAAAGTATAATTAAAATGATAGTGGAAATGTGATTAACAAAAATCGAGGCGTAAATATCATTTCTCTTCAAAAAAATAGATATACATGTCGATTTGAGTGTGAATATATGCACACATTGACGGATTTGAGTTCCAAGTATGAGTGGCAACCAAATCTCTTAAAACTCAATCTACAAATGAATTGTTCATAAGCCATTTTAAATTGATTGCAATTCCAACGACATTATTAAGGAAGTAATGAACCACAAAAATTAGTATAATAATTATCTAATGAACATGAATCAATGTAAAATTATACCATTCCAGTCACTGATTATGAAAATATAAAATTTATTATTGAATTATCTAGAGTTTGCTGATTGAAGTTTTGACAAGATAAAAGACAAAAACAAACAAGTAATAAAATGATTAAAATCTATGGACACACGAGTGCATGAAGTTACTCCTATAAATTAGAATTGGATATCATGTCGAGGACATTTAGCAAAAAAAAAAAAAAACAATAAATCATCCGAGACCGGGGGCTTGTTCAGACCGTTTGAGTTATTAAATTGGGTTAATTAGCCAAACACATTAACCGAAACTAGAAAGCCGAAGTATAAAAATCCCCATCAACTAAAATCCCGGTCCATGCCCCCTTGTTCATCCCCTGCTCCTGTTAATCACTGATACTGATAGTGTTCTAATTTCTAAACG